TGAGGAGACGAGGGGGAGGAGGACGAGGAGGGGGAACAGGAGGAGGAGAGGAGGTTGGAGGGGTGCTCGCCCTCCTTTCGATGCTCGAGGTTTTATGCTTTCTTGTAATGCTTGCTTTTTCCTGCTTGAAGGGCCTCCGAAAGACCCTTGGGACTTCTGGAGACTTCCGGGGACCCGTCGGCGCGCGGCCCCGGGGGCCCCTGCGGGCCACCTGGACAGCCACTTGCCGCATGCCCGCGCGCTGTTCTGCAGCATCGGGCTGGAGGGCAACTTGGCGCCACTGCTCACCATCTCGAGCGAGGACGCATCCTCAAAAGGCCTCTGTCAGAGAGGCCGTCATGCACTGCCACAGCGTGAAGCCGGTTGCCACAACAAACGTGTTGTCGACCCTATTGAATTGGACCGGAGGGCAACTTCGCGCCATTGCTCACCATCTCGAGCGAGGCCGCATCCTCGAGGGCATCTGTCATCGAGGCCGTCATGAACTGCCACGTCGTGACGCCTGTTGGCACAAACAACGTTTTGTCGACCCAGTTCGAATCCCACCAGCCCTCAGGGCGCTGGTGGTCTAGAGCGCTTCCTCTTCCAACCCCCTTTCTTCCATATCGGGGACGGGTTTATCATTATTTCCCATGATTAAACACCCCCGCGTCCCCACCAAGCCGGCCGATAGCAAACCCGCCGTCCTAACTTTCAAAAAACAATGCAAACTCATTTTTTCCTCGCCAGCATGTCGTCGAGTTGCGAAACGTGTAGCAGGAATGGGACGGAATGGACATCGCTTAGGTAACCCCAAGCGGGTGGTCGCGTCCCACCCATCCAAAAAGAATACACAGTCAACGTTTTTCTCGTCAACATGGACTTTCTTGTCGTCGGCGCTGCGAAAAGTGTAGCAGGAATGGGACGCGGCGCACATCGCGCGCGGACGCCCGGCCAACCATACGCGGAACCCCGCGTCCTACCTGCCAACATGTACTTTCTCCTCGTCGGCGCTGCGAATCGCGTAGCGGGAATGGGACGCGGCGCGCATCGCGCGGGGACATCTGCTCGTCAACATGGACTTTCTTGTCGTCGATGCTGCGGCCCGTCGGGTTGAGGAGCTGGGCGGGCGGCAAGTCATAATGCCTCAAGCAAGTGCGGTTCGCCGCACTTCGCGCGCTGGCCATGTTGTCGCCGACGAAGCAACATGAGAGGCCGGAGCGGGGCGCGGCGTACATCGCGCGCGGTCTGGTTTCTCGTCGACGTTGCTCAATACGCGGCAGGCATAGGACGGAGCTCATGGCGCGCGCTGAACGTCTAGCTGCCACGATCTAAGATGAGCGACAGGCGTCGGGCGCGACGCACTTGTTTCTTATGTTGTGGGAGGGCGGGTAGGAGTGGACGGAGCCCTCTGGCTCGTTCGAGCTGGCTAACTTGACCCCTCTCCCTACCCCCTCCCCTGGACCTGGACGGGGCGCCCTGCGAGCGGTCAGGGCGTCCAAAACGGCCTCGGCGATGAAGCCCAAATCATTGGTTTTACTATGATTTGGCCCCATTTTGGCCTCTTGGGGGGGCGGCGCTAATTAAGGACCCTCCCTTCTTTGATCGATCTCCTCCGAGATGGCCCCACGAGCGCTCCCAAGGCTCCCAAGGGTGCCCCAAGAGGGCCCCAAGAGGTGGCCAGGAGGCCCCAAGAGGCGCCCAAGAGGCTCCCGGGATGCCCCCAAGAGGCTCCCAAGAGACCCCCAAGAGGCCCCAAGAGGCCCCCCAAAGGCACCCAAGACGCTCCAAGAGGCCTCGGCGACAATGCCAAAATCATTAATTTTAGTAAGGTTTTGGATGCATTTTGGCCCCTGGGGGGGGGGGGGGGGGGGGGGGGGCACTGCTTGAGATGACTCCAAGAGCGCCTGGGGGAGCCCAAGATGACCTCCAAGATAGCTCAAGATATCCCAAGATGCCTCAAGATGGCCCCCATGATGCTCCAAGAGGCCTCGAGACCGCTCCAAGACGGCTCCAAGCGGCCAAAGAGCTCCCCCAGGAGGCCCCGAAAAGATCGAAATCCTTCCAAAACCTTAGGAAGATCAATGTTTTTGGCTTTCTCGCCTTTTCGCTTCCGATGGCCATCCGAGGCCTCAAGATGGCTCCAAGACGGTCCAAGAGGGCTCCAAGAGCGCTCCCGCTCCCAAGCCTCCCAAGAGCGTCCCAAGAGGGCCCCAGGAGGCACCCCGACGGCCCCAAGAGGCACCAACAGGCGCTTAAGAGGCCTCCAAGAGGCTCCCCAGAGACCCCCAAGAGGCGCCAATTCGCCGGCCCAACGGGCCAGAGGCGTGCTAACATCTCCGGTAACTGCTAAATAATACTTCTACTTCGCGCGCGCGGGGCGGCCCCTGGGGGTCCCCGGACGAAAAGTACTCCGGGCGATCCCCGGCAGACTCGGGTCAGAGATGGTTTTCCTCCTGGGCGCCGCCCCCGTGGCCCTCCAGAGAGCCCCAAGAAGGGCCACGAGGCCGCCAAGAGCCCTCCAAGATGGTTCAAGAGTGCTCCGAGATGCCACACGATCGTTCCAAGACGCCCAAGATGGCCCCCAGACGCCCCAAGAGGCCTCCAAGAGCACTCCCCAGAGGGCCCCAAGAGGCAAAATTCATTACTTTTCCTTAGGTTTTGGGCAGATTTTGGCGTGTCCATCTTTTCGGCTTCCCGACGCCCCAAGACGGCCCAAGAGGCCCCCAAGATCGCCCCAAGAGGGCCCAAGAAGCTCCCAAGAAGGCCCCAAGATGGCCCAAGAGGGCTCCAAGACGGCCCCAGAGGCATCCAAGACGGCCCAAGAGGGGCCCAAGAGGGCCCCAAGCGATGCCCCAAAGGGGGAACACAAAACAAAACTTCGAGCCCTCGGCCTTAAGAAGCCCCCAGGAGGCCTCAAGAGGCCCCTGAGAGGCCCCAAAAGCCCCCAAGAGGCCCTCAGGAGGCCCCCAAGCGACGCTGAAGAGGCCCCCCAGCGGCCCCAAGAGGCTCAGTCATACGAAATGGGCCAGCGGAATGAGCGAAGCGATTCAATAAGCTCTCCGAAACACCCAAGACGCTCTAAGAGGCGCCCGGGACCGCCAAGAGGCCCCCAAGACGCTCCAAGAGGCCTCCACTGGGGGACCCTTCCTCTGTGTGCTGCCCACTTCCCTGATCGAGGCAATTCCTCTGGGCATCGGTTCTGGATGGGCTGGCGGGGTTACACGAAACGTCTAGATTTTTCCGTCCTCTCTGCCGCTCTCTCTCTCTCTCTCTGAATATTTATCCGCTCTTATCGGTCGTGCCCTCTCTCATGTGCCCCTGTCATTTCTCTTATATATCCCTCGTCTCCTCTCCTCGCCTCTCCTCTCCGCTTCTAACTTCCCCCCTCACGCTCGCACTCACATTCAGTCTCGCTCCCACTCTCTCACTCACTCCCACTCTCACGCAACATCCCTTCTTTCTTTACCTCGCATCTACAGAGAATCTGGAGAGATGGAAGTTGAACAGTGAGTAGCAGTGGGCTGGAATGTCTGCCAGTGCTGGAACGAACTGAATACACACAGACAGGTGCTGGTCAGAGCTGCATCGACTGTAGAAATATGGCCAGAGCTGCGGACCGTGAGGACGATGAGGACTATTATGCTGAGTGAGGATGGGGATGAGGAGGAGGGGGAAGATGCAGACAACACGGATGATGGATCAGGAGGGGGGGGCGGCCGGGAGGACGCGGGGGAGGGGGCCGCGAGGCGGAAGGAGGAAGGGGACGAGGATGAGTGAGGAACAGAAACAAGAAACGGGTGACGGTGGTGATGATGGAGGGCGAGATGGGGGGGGGGAGGTGAGCGGAGCGAAGCGGCGGTCCTGCCACTGGGGCGCTGGCAAGCTGGGCACCTTCCGCGGCATCGAGTCCAGGAGCCGTCGGGAGCGGCTTGCCACCCACCTGTCTATCTCGGCCTCGCGCGAGGGGGATTAGGGGCGGGAGGAGGGGGAGGAGGAGGAGGAGGAAGAGGAGGAGGATGAGGAGGAGGACGAGGAGGAGGAGGAGGAGGAGGAGCAGGAGGAGGAGGAGGAGGAGGAGGAGGAGGATAAGGAGAAGGAAGACGATGAGGAGGACGAGGAAAAAGGAGGACGCTGTACGAGGCATGGAGATCGAGGATGCGTGCGTGTGACTGAAAGCTAATCAAGAACAGAAGACTATGACGAGGTGCGCGCCGAACGCGAACACCATGAGCGTGGGGCGGGGAGGGACGGATGAGAAGGGAGGATGGAATGTGGGGGTTACTGTTGTCTCGAAACGATATCGTAGGCTTCCTCGGCTCGAGGACGACATGTATTCATGCTGGGGTCGGACGGCACGGGGACATGATGGGATGAGAAAGGATAGGGAACGAGGTTCCTCCTCCTCCTCCTCCTCCTCCATCTCCATCTCCTCCCTCCTCCCTCCTTCCTCACCCTCTTTCTCCTCCTCCTCCTCCTCTTACCTCCCCTCCGTTTTCTTCTTCTCGTCCTCCTCCTCCTCCTCCTCCTCCTCCCCCATTTTCTCTTCCAGCTCCACCTGGTCCTCCCATCATTATTTCCTTATTCCTTATTCAAGCTATCTCTTTATTCCTTCTGTCACGAGCATCCAATAGGCTTTGTACCCACAGTCCAAGCACGGTGGCGGGATTGGCCGAATGCCATTCTCTACTAGTTACAAACTTCGTTGTTTTATCGATAGAAGCATTTCATATCTTATATGCCGTATTATGTCTGCCTCATAGTCTGTATACTATGCAATGCATTTATATGTTATATATTGTGTACATGCGTACAGTCATGCAAACACATATGCATGTCTCTATATATGCATACATATGACAATACCCATGCGGATCTGTAGTGCAATGAGAGAAGGTGGCCAACTAGTAGCGATGACAACGAGAGACAGACAATTGGACACGGCCGCGCGCTTCACCACGACCAACTTGCAAGTGCGGTTGGCCTCCAGCATACGCAACTTGGCAAGACGATGGAGATGATGACGACAACGAAGGCGGTGATGGGGCGCGCAGGTGACGACGGCGGACGGACGTGCCAATTCGCGCCTCGTGTCAACAAAAACGCTAGAAAGTACTCCGTCACTGCCGCTCGGCACAGGGCGACGAAGGACCACCACCGCCCGCTCGGTGCCCGTCGGCGTCATCTGCTGCAGGCGGCGCTCAGAAGCGGCGCGGGGCGAAGGGGGGCGGCCAGCCATGGGAGGGCAGAAGGCTTCTCAGAAAGGCTCGGAGGCACTCCGAAAGACGTCGCAGAGGGGGAAGGGGCTTGCGGCGACAGTCAAGCCGCATGATTAGGATGCACGACGCGGATGCGAAGGCCTTGGAGGGCCATGCTGGCACTTTGCGGACGGGGCGCGGCCAGCGAAGCCGGCCAAGCATGGCCCGAGGAGGCAAGGATGCAGGGGTACCCGTGGGAAGGATGCCCATCATCGCTATGCGGGTTGAGTGTACGCACTTTTGCTCAGCACGTCGCGGCGGCAGCCTCGGCGACACGCTATGCCCTTCGAGCGGATACCGTGTCGCTCCGCTCCGCGGGGCGGGCTGCTGAGAGAAGCTCGGGGCGCTGCCGCTCGGGGGCGGGGATGCGGACAGACAGGCGTGCCGCTCCGAAGCGTGGTGGGCCAGAACTGGCGGAGCGACAGGCTGAGCTGGAGCTCCTGGCCGTCTGAGGCGCCCCCTCCTGCTCTTCGGCAGGCCCCCGCCCTCGCCGCACCCCCCCCCCCCCTGCGCGCCGCCAGCCTCTGCCCCCGGCGACGAGGGGGTGCGGCCTCGGAAGAGCAGGGGGGCCTCTCGGAGGGGCTCGGAGGAACTCCGAGAGGGCGTCGCAGAGGGCGGCGGGGGGGGGGCCTCTGGGAAGCCCCCGCTTGCTTCTCAGCAGGCCCCCCGCCCAGAGGTCCTATGCCTGGCTTTTTGTTCTCCGATGCGCGGGCCCCCGGAGGTCTGGACCCACTCCCGGGGGCCCGCTTTCCATCCCGAGTCGCTTTTTGATGGTCCCTGGGCCCGGCGTCTTGTTTCTTCAATGCGTTCGAACTCTGGGCCGCCCCCGCCCCACCCCCATCAGTGCGTCGCCGGCCTCTCTCCGCGAGGCCGACTGACGACAACGACGACGACGACAACGACGACGACGACAACGACGACGACGACAACGACGACGATGACAACGACGACGACGACGATAACGACAACGACGACGACGACAAAAACGGCGACGACGACAACGACGATAACGACAATAACGACAATAACGACGACGACCGAGACAACGACGACGACGAGAATGACAACGACAACGACGACAACGACGACGACAACGACGAAAACGACGACATAAGATAACGACAACGACAATAACGACAACGACGACAACGAGAACTACAACGACGACGACGATAACGACAACATTGACAACGTCAGCGACGACGACGACAACAACGACAACAACCACGACGACAATTGCTAGTCGTTTTTCAGCGGAGAACGTTTGATGGCAGAGGCCGGCTGGATGCATATGCTAGGAAGGCTGAGGCTTGAAATCCGACTCCCAGCGGGAGTGCTCAGGTGGGTGAGGTCGGGGGGGTAGCTTGAGCAACATTTACGGCGACAGACGAAAACCTGTTAGCAAACACCTGCGACGCAGAGACATGCTACTCGTTTTTCGCGGAGAACGTTTGATGGCAGAGGCCGGCTGGATGCATATGCTAGGAAGGCTGAGGCTTGAAATCCAAAACCTTTCGCAACAACGGAAATTCACAGCGAAGCGGCGGGCGGCTTTCACCTGGCAAAAAGTCCGCCCCCGAGACCCCACGAGGACGGGAGCAGGGGATCGGCGGAGTGGCGTCACCTACTGTTTCCCAAAAGGGATCTCGCAAGGAAGTCGCACAGCCTCGAAGGGTACTTGGCGGCTCGGCTAGTCATCGAAGAACCTACGAGTGTCAAATGTGTCTTACCAAGTCTAAAGCTGCAGAAACCATGTTTGCCCGTGCAGCGGAACCTCCAAGACTCCATTCGAAGCAAGTCAAGGTCCACTACATTCAGGAAAAGGAGATCTGTAGCCTTCCGATATCTAGTTCCGAAAGCGCACTGATGAATTGTGATCCTAGTGAGATTCTCCATAGCTCGATTGAGTGACGGGTCCTGCCAGAGCCTGGAGGTCTGTGGGTTCTCTAGGGCACAGGGAACCGAAAAACGCCTACAGGCCCTGATGACGGCAATACAGGTATCCAGACACATGTTACCTGTATCGACCTTGAGACGGTCAACTGTAGAAAGATTCGGAAGACCACGGATGTGTAAAGCATCGCGCACAGGGAAACGATTCCGTGCCACAGAGAAAATTGAACACGGGGGAGCCATCATCACAGCGGCCACTCGGCCTGTCGATATGTGTCGGATTGTCGTTCTCACATTCTGCTTTGAGGTGAGATCCTGATCAGGAGAGTTGCGCAAGTCGAGGCTAATTGTTGGCATGTTCCAGCGCCGTGCCGAGCGCCGAAGTCCGCCACCGCCTCCGAACAAATCCAGCAGGTAGCGGCTCGGCGCGTCTAGGAGGGCCTGGCACGCTTCGGCGCGGGGCCTGCCTCCTTCCGCGCCCGCGGCGGCAGCGGCGAGGCGGCGCCCTGCAGGAAGATGCCCTCCATGGACCGCAGGCAGACAGCCACGTGGTCCTGATCCTCGCGACTGAGCTCGTTCCACGCCTGATTCACGCGCCCCGCCTTCTCGTAGCGGCGGACGCTCTTCAGGGCCTGCCAGCGGCCCCGCTTCATCACCTGCTCCTGGGTCCGCAGGCCCTCCGCGCGGTCCTCACTGGCCCCTGTGTGTCGGCCCTGGTACGGCACCACCGCCCAGCCCAGGCGGGCGCAAGCCCTCCTGAAGACCGACGCGTACTCGCGGTAGGTCCAGTCAAGGAGGCGGTCCGATCCACGACGGCGGGAGAGCACGCGGTACACGCTGTCCATCCAGACGAACCTGCGAGAGTCGAGGGGGATGCTGTCGTCGCTCTCCCCTGTCTTGCTCCTCAGGTTCCCTTCCTGGGGGAACAGCAGCAGCGCCCAGCTCGCCACCCCGCTGGGGGCCGGCGGCAGGAAGGACCTCGGCGTGAGGCCCAGCATCTCCCCCGGCCGCAGGTAGCACTCCACCATCACCAGCGACAGGGCGGCGGCCAGGAGATATCCCACGCGGGCCATCTCCGCGCAGATCGCGGCCCACATCCCGATCGTCAAGGGCCGCCTCGAGTGAGATGGCGACGCCTTGCACCATCCCTTCAGAGCCCGGAGAGAGCGAGGAAGGTGGTCCGCTCCATGCCGCCCGTACTGAGGTCGATGGAAGATCACGCCCGCCAGAAGCTTCTCTCCCCTCCAACTCTTGTGCCCGCTCTCGAACTCGTGGTTCATGAAGGACACTGGGGCGGCGTCGAGCTCCGCGGGGTGGTCCAGGATCGAGTCCGAGGAGTGGTGCCAGCTCAAGAACTCTTGGACGCGCTGGCGGTACTGGGCAGCAGCCGCCGGCGTCACCGACCTCGCCTCCAGCGGCGTGAGGCGGGATGAGAGCGGCCCGCCGTCCAGCAGCGCGGCGAGGGCCTGACGCATGTGGCCCTTCCCGCGCCGGCTCAGGCAGCGCCGTCGCGCCGCGGCGGCCGCCCTTTCCTCGGGGTCCGAGGAGTCGTCGCTCTCCTCGCTGGCGCCCGCGGCCTCGGCACCCCCGCGGGCGGGCGTGTCGGCCCGCGGGCCTGGCCCCAGGCCCGCTGGGAGCTCCTCCGCGCACCGCGCCAGAAAGGCCTCGGTGCTCTCCTCGACGCCGGCGTGCCCCCTCGGATTCGACGCCTCCGAGCGCACCAACAGGCGGTCGCTCAGGGCCCGCTCCAGAGTCAAGACGCGGGTGCGAGCCGGCGCCGCCTCCGTCGTCTGTCTGGCCTCCGAGGCAGTCCAGCAGCGCCTGCGCGTAGGGGCCGACGGCCCTCGCGCCCTGGCTGGAGGGCGGTCTGACATCACTACGTTGCGTCGCTTCTGAGGTCGGCAATTGGTTGGAGCCAACATGTCTACTGAGGGGAGGACGAGGAGGGGCGTGGCACTGATCAACGCCACTGGGGCCTCCCTCGCCCTCGAGATGCGCCCCCGGGCCCTCGATCAGGGGCCCCAAGTGGGAAACGAGAGTCTTGTCGGCATTGTAAGACGCGTCGAAAACTCTGCTACCTTCGTCGCCCGAGTTAAACTCGCTGGGAACCCAACGGAAATACAGGCGGACATTGCGAGCCAGAGATAAACTGAAAAATCGCCTTAGTTGCTCAAGCACCCTGTAGTCCCTCGACCTACCCCGAGCAAAACAAAGAGTGATGGCAAGATTGTCGCCGAGCAAGAGCACTCGACAGTTTCTCACCGAACGAATGTGAAGTGCGCGGGCCCCCGCTTTGACGACCGCCCGGGCCTCCAGGCGCAAGATATCATCAGCGTGGAGCCAGCGATCGGCAAGGATGGTGTGCCAGCGATCCTTCGCCAGCAGGCTGCTGGGCACCTCGGGGAAGTCATCGTTGTGCTCCCAGCGCGCAGCCTCCAAGATCTCGCGCGCCTCCCTGTCGAGCCGCACGGGCCGCCCCAAGAAGTCGCGCTCCACCTCGCCGCTCTCGGGGTCGACCCTGAAGCCGGCCACCTCGAAAGCGTGCTCACGGGCGCGGGTGCCGCCCAGGCGATAGCGGCTGACCTCGGGCACGCGCCCAACAGCTGCGACGTCCGCGGTCGACCGCAGGGACTGCGACACCCCGAAGCCGTGGAGGCTGGCGTCGCTAGCGTAGACGTAGGGCGTCCAGGGCTGCTCCCAGTCGGCCTCGATGAAGACCATCGCCCCCACGAAGGCCACGAGCTCCTCTCGGGCAGAGGCCCACAGCGGCTGGAACTTGCCGTAGGACTCCCGCACGAAGCGGTACACGACGTGGAAGATCGAGAGGAGCTCTCGCCGCATGAGGCGCAGGAAGGTGTTGTGGCCCAGGACCGCCTCCAGCTGCCAGCTGGCGATCTCCTTGAGGCGCAGCAGAGCGCGTGCGCCCTGCCGCGCCAAGCCGAAGCGCCGACTGCCGGGGCGGGCCACTCGGCTGTCGCCGTCCAGGTACCACCCCAGCGAACTCCCACCGTGCTCAAGGACCTCCATCTCGTGGAAGCGCAGCGCGTCGTGGTCGAAGTCCCGCTGAGCCTCTGCGAGAGCCTGTCGGACCAGACCGCCGTCGAAGGACATGGCGCCAGCGTTGTCCACGTGCACGTAGTGGCCGGCCTGCTCCATGACGCGGGAGCCGCCGAACACCAGGGAGGGCCCGCGGTCCGAGAGCTCCTGGCTTCGGACCAGCGAAGGCTGACGTCCCAGACGAACTGAGTTAGCGGTCTGGGCGAAATGCAGTGACCACGAAAAACCCATCGGTAGGCTGGCGCACATCGGCCAGATCTTCTGGCCTGGCTCCAACGGGACGCCGTCGAGCTCGGTGAGGCCTGCATGCCGTGCCGCCAGTGGTGGCCAGCAGAAGTAGCGGCGGATGTCGCCGCCCGCAGTCTTCGTCAACCTCATCCTGTGGAAGCAATCGGCCACGTCTCCGACCCCCAGATGCAAAGGGGGCCCATCCAACAAACCCTCGGAGTCGTCGATGTCTACCCTGGCCAGCCCCTCTCGCCGCTCAGGAGGGCGACGCCAGGGGGCTTGTGGAACAGTTGGTTGGCGCGACGACAATCCACAATCAACCTGAGCTTGTCGGCCTTCTTGGTGGCAAAGAACACGCCCAAGACGCAGGCGGGATCACGAGTGAAGGTCACCAGGCCGATGTCCGCGGCCCTCCGCACAAGGCGGCCGTAGGCGCGGGGATTCTTCTGCAGCGCCGGGTCGGTATGGCAGCCCGGCACCCCTTCATGCTGTCGAATTAATTCCGACTCCGGCGCGGGTCGGAGCATATGCTTCTCGAAATCCTCGAGCTGTATCCTCGCCTCCGAAGGCAACGTGGAGATGAGCGACGGCGCATTGTGCAAGTCGCCCGGGAGCGAAACCTTCGAGTACTCGTAGGACCCGACACTGCATGAAGGCGACGGCGTATAGCCTGAGCGCCCCTTCAAGAGCCTGGCCAAGGCTCCACGCTCGCTGACGGCGCTGTCAACGTCGCTCCAGCGGGCTGCCGCCTCAACGACGCGCTGCCGCACATCGGCCTGAAGGCCCAAAATCTTGCGCTCGGTCGCCGATGAGATCCTGTGGGGGATCGGGCGGTAGGCGCTACCATGCATCCAATTCAGCGCGTCGATCGCCGCCTCGATGTCACGAAGCAGCCGCCGGCGCCGCCCGCCTGTCACCTCCGGGGGAAGGCCCGCGGCTCGCAGCGGGGGCAACGGCAAGAACGCGCACGCCCTGCGGGGTCCTCGGGCGACGATCAGGCCGTCGTCGCCCCCTGGTGGCAGCGTCATGTTGCCGGCGGCCGCGAGCCGCGCCCGCGGCCGCCTCTACCGCGTCCCCGACCTCGACCTTCGGCTCCTCCAGCAGCATCTCCGTCGACCTGCGAGGGGAGCGCGCCCGCCAGCGTCGCCGCCGCCGTCGCGTCGGCCCCAGCGTGGGCCGCGGCGCCGGGCTGCCGGGCGCGGGCTCGCAGGCTCTCCAACTCCGCCTCCTCCTTGGCCTGCCGCGCCGCATACATGCGCATGTCCTCGGGCACCAAGTCCAGGGCCGAGGTGGTCGCGCTGAAGTGCTTCGCCGCGCTCTAGTTGGGGTTGTCGGCACCCTTCGCATGCGCCTCCACGTGCTGCAGCAGCCGGCGGGACACCGCCTCCAGCGCCGCGACGGCGCCCATGTTGAGTTGGTCGAAGGTGCCCGCCTGCCACAGGGCCTCGATCAGGCACTCGACATCGTGCCAGGATCTGTCCTTCCTGGTGATGCCCACCTCGCGGGCCCACTCGGCGAACCACGCCTTCGGATCCCCACCGTGCTTGAAGAACTTCCTACAGATGGCGAGGCACACTGGGGGCCCCTTGAGGCCCGCGGTCTGCAGGCTCTCCTGGGTCGCCTCATGCAGGACCTTGCGCCACTCCTTGAAACGGATCCCAGCGTCGTCGTAGTCGATCCAGCACGTGCGAAGATCGTCGCCCGGGCCCTCCTGGCCAAGGGGCGGCGGGCGGCCGCCAGCCGCCGGGCCATCAGGAGGAGGGCTGTCACCAAGCAGGCGCTGCTCCAGAGCACCCTCGCCTCCGCGGTTGCGGGCCGCGCCGCGCAGCTTCGACTCCCGCCGCTCGCCAGCGCCGCTGATCTCCACCAGCTCCACGGGGCGGTGGTTCCCAGAGGCGTCCGTGACGATAGCAAAACGCCCCCGCCGGCAGGAGTCCGAGCCCAGGAGCGCCTCGGTGCCGAAGGCGAACTCTCCCAGGGGCGCGGCCAGGTCGCTGCTCAACCAAGCGAAGCCCTCGGGGGCCGAAGGGGGGGTGGCGGTGCCGCCCACGGGCGGCGGCTCGGCAGGCGGCGGCAGCGGGGGCGCCGCGGGCTCCTGCTTCCCACGCAGGCGGACGCGTGGCGCGTGCACCACCGAGTGAGGCGGCAACGGCAGCCGCCGGCCCCACGCCAGTCCACGGCCTCCGTGATGTCCTCCGCCACGGCCCCCTCCAGCACAGGCGCCTCCGCGCGCGCGCGCTTGACCAGCTCCACCACTTCCTCGGGCTCCAGCGGCCTGCTGAAGGCCACCACCTGAGGCACGCCGGCAGGGTAGCCCTTACGCCCTGTGAGCAGGGCGCTGCTGCTGTAGTCCGAGAGGCTCTCCACATAGAGGTCGCCGCCCGGCGTGTAGACGAAGAAGCCAGGCCCATCCTCCTCCGTAGCCGTCGGCCAGAGGAAGAGGCGCTCGTGGGCCCAGCCAGGATCCGAGGCGAAAGTCACCAGGCCACGGGCACCCGGAGGAGGATTCACGACCTCCTCGAACCTCGAACGCCGTCCCAATCGAATCATCACTTGATCTGCAGGCGGGTCTCCCCGAGCGGTAGCCGCTTGCGGGCCTCGCTAGCCCGCCCGCCTGGCGCAGCTGTGCCACGCGCAGAGACCTGCAGCGACCTCCAGCGCCGCCAGCAGCGCGAGCAGCAGGCCGCTGGGCACCTCCACGGTCGAGCCCGCCACGCCCGTGCCCAGGACGCGGAAGCTCTCCGGCTCCGAGGCTGGGCAGGCGCACGGCGCGGCCGGCGCCACGAGCCAGCTGGTAGAGGTCCCAGCACTCGAAGTGGTGCTGGTCGCGGTGGTGGTGGTGGTGCTGCTGGTCCAGAGAGACCCCACGAGACCGCCGGGGCACCCGTCGCCGCCCCACCAGTTCGCTGGGTGCAGAAACACGCCAGTGAACAGAGCGAAGGTGATCGCGGCGGTGCTGGTGGTTCCAGCAAGCATGCTAGGGCTTCTAGCTTGAGCAACATTTACGGCGACAGACGAAAACCTGTTAGCAAACACCTGCGACGCAGAGACAATCGACGACGACGACGACGACAACGACAAACGACGACGACGACCACAATGACGACGACGATAACGACGACGACAACGACAACGACGAGGACAACGACGACGACAACGACAACGACGACGACAACGACGACGCCAGCCACGACAACGCCGACAACGACAACGACCACGACGTCGACGACAACGACAACGACGACGACAACGACGATGACAACAACGATGACGACGACGACAACGACAACGAGGACGACAACGACGACGGCGACGACGACAACGACGACGACGACAATGACGACACCAACAACAAATACGACGACAACCACAACGACAACGACAACGACAAGAACAACGATGACGACAATGACGACGACAACGGCAACGACGACGACAACGGCGAGATGGCAACGACGACGACGACACCGACAACGACAACGACGACGACGACACCGACTACGACAACGACGACGACAACAACGACAACGACGACGACAACGGCGACGACAACGACGACGACGACAACAAGGACAACGACAACGACGCCGATGACAACGACCACGACAACGACGACGACAACGACGACGACGACATCGACAATGACGACAACGACAACGAAGGCAACGATGACGACAATGACAACGTAGACAACGACGACGACGACAGCGACGAGGACGACAATGATGACGACGACGAAAACGACAACGATAACGACGACGATGATAACAACGACGACGAGAACGACAACTGCGACGACAACGCCAGCGATGACGACGACGACGATAACGACAACGACAACGATGACGACGACGAGAACGACGACGACGACAACGACGATGACAACGACGACGAAGACGACAACGACGACGAAAATGACAACGATGACAAAAACGACGACGACGACAACGACGACGACGACGCCAGCGTCGACGACGTCGCCGACAACGACAACGACCACGACGTCGACGACAACGATGACGACGAGGACGACAACGACAATGACAACGCCAGCGACGACAACAACGACGACAAGGGTGACGGCGACAACGACGAGGAGGACAAGGACAACGATGATGATGACGACGACAAGGGTAACGACAGCAACAACAACAACAACAACGATGACGACGATGACGACAACGACAACGACGACGACAACGACAACGATGAGGAACACGACATCGACGACGACGACGACAACGACGACGACAACGACGACGGCGACAATGACGACGACGACAACGATGACGACGACGCCAGCGACGACGTCGCCGACAACGACAACGACCACGACGTCGACGACGACGAGGACGACGACGACGACAACGACGTCGACGACAAAGATGGCGACGACGACAACGACGACGAGGACTGCCTCCGTGGTACTGTCCACCGCACACGCGCGGGTTAATCATTGCAAGCTAACGCGCGCCTGAGGCCGCGGGGGTGTAACAGTCGATGATCCTCAGAACGCGTCGGTGCCAACGTGCGCTTGTCCACCGGCGGCGCAGCGAGGGTCGACACAAACTGCGCGCTGCCTGCGGAACCGAACGGGGTCAACACGCGCTCGGACTACGGTCGGCCTGCATCAGGAGAAGGATGCCGGGGCCTTGGAAGGCTGTTTTGAATCTTTCCGAGCGGGGCGCGGCCAGCGGAAGTGGCCAAGGATGGACCGAGGAGGCAAGGATGCAAGGGTACCCTTGGGAAACTTGCTCGTCCATGCTGTGCGGGTTGACTGTAACACCTTTGCGTCGGCGGCTGGGCAAAGGTCGTCTGCGCTGGCGGAAGGAGCTAACTGAACGGGAACACCGTTGTAGCGAATTGGCCAACCTGCGGGTTGACCGCAACGGACGTCCTGAGGACCATCAGAACAACTGCGGGCGGGGGCGCGAGGGCTCAGGCTGGAGAGGTGCCGGCCTAGCCCGAGGCCTGCCTCCGGCTCCTCTCGGGGAGCCGAACAACAGCAGCACCCACGACACGCCGCCGTAGGGAGCCCGCCAGCGTTCTGCCGCTGCGGAAGACACTCCAGGCGTCTGGGCAGGCACGAAGAAGCGACACGCCGGCGGGCTATACCAACGGCAGCGTGCCACTGATGCTCCTCCTCCCTCCTTCGATGCTCATTCTGGGGACCCTGTTGGAGCCAATCGCTCCGCTCGTGCGTCGAAGCTGCGTCGAACGTCCGTCGACTCGAGTCGAACCTGAGTCGAACCTGAGTCGAACCTGGGTCTTACCTGAGTCTTACCTGAGTCGAACCTGAGTCGAACTGGGGTCGAACTGGAGTCGAACAGGTCCACCAGATGTGCCACAGGAAGGCCCCCCAAACGAGCATCGAGCCCTCCCGGTCCTGACCGCCGCGGCCAACTCCTGGAGGAGGCCCCGCGTCGTGTCGAAGTCCATGCAGGCGTCCGTGACCTCGGCCCCCCCCCCCCCCCCCCACAACCAAGCGGTTGGCCCCTCTCCAGGGCGCGATGCGGGCAGGGGCGCCGCAGACAGGGCGCCGCGGGCGGCTTGTCAGACGCCTCTGACAGCCCGCCTCACCCCCATTTTCTCCTCTCCTGTTATTCTAGGTCAGTCGCAGTGTCGCCGCCGTTTCAGCGTTTCTGCCTTCTCCCCCCCTCTCTCCCCCCAACGGCTGTGGAGGACAAACCTACTCCGCCCCCTGGGAAACCCTTTGCCTTCGTGGTGACCTTCTTTTTCAATACACCTGTCCTTGGAGGACTCTGATGCCACCAGCGTGGGAGCAGGAGGAGGAAAAGGAGGAGGAGAAGGAGGAGGAGGAGGCGCGACCGTAGCTGAAAAGGGAAGAGAAAAAGTAGGAAGAGGAGGATGCGTAGGACGAGGAGGAGGAGGAGGAGGAGGAGAAGGAGGAAGAGGAGGACAACGAGGAAGAGGAACGAGCGACGCCACTGGGAACGCTATCCTTCGATCAACCGCGCCGCGGCCGCACCCCGCCCGCATTGTCAGGGTGGAGCCACAAGGCGTGGCGTGCGGCAACAACGGCCTCGTTCTGCGTGTGGTAATTGAACGGCACGACGCAGACCTTCGTATTGTGGTAGGCGCGAGTGGCGGCCCCCATCCGCGCCGTTTTCGCTTTCGAGCTCGGCGTCCACAAGGGGGCAGCCTGATGAGCGCCAGCAATTCCGCGCTCAGCTGGCTCCTCAGGGGGCTCAGCTGGTGCCAGAGTCGCTGGCAGACCATGTAGTGCTTGATATCGTCGTCCGCCTGGCACCCGAAGTGGCAAGCTCGCATGCACACTACGACGTCCATCCCTGTCGAGGTCGTCCACCCGCCCACGAGCATTTTCAGGGCGGCCCATACGCGAGCGGGCGGAAGGGTGGCGAGGTAGGTGCGCAAGCGAAGCCAGGTCGCCTCCCGGTCGTCGGGGATGGCCTCCAGGCTTATGGGCTCGGAGTCGTCGGTGTCTCCGTCTTCGTCCACCACCTCGTCGGGAACCTCGGGGGGTGGCACGGGGTCGGCCACCTGCTGTCCAGCGACCCAGCGGCGTGTACGGTGCTGGGCAGCTTCCTCACTTCGAAGTTGTGCCTGCTCGTGGATCCTGTTCTCGTCGGTGCCCATGCTGCCGAGCAGCCGCAGCTCCAGCAAGCGACGGCCGAACAGGTCGTTGTCCAGAACTGCCTGCACACGTCCTCAGCGATACGGCGCCGCTGCTGAAGGTAGTTGTACAGCGGATGGACATCCACAGTCGCCAGCGCGCTTTCCAAGTACCCAACGCACCATATCATCCAGTCGGCCTTGTTATTCATGTCACGGTCTCCCAAGAGCACGTCGGGGATCCAGCGGGCGACCCACGCGCCAGCGCGGCGGGGAAGTCGTTCTTCTGGAGAACTGGCGGAACGGGTTCGGAGACGGGAACCAAACCAGCAACCGGTTGCGGATGGTGATGTGCACCGTGTCGCGGCAGAGGCGCTCCTGCGGGGCAGGGGGGTGGGCCTGCTGCGGCGTGCGCTGCACCATGGAGTGGTCCGTCCCTTTCTCGTGGCGGCTGAAGATGCTCGTCGTGCCTTTGTGGGCAGCGTACTTGGTCGCAACGAGAAGCGCGCCGCGCGCGAGGAATGGAGCTCATGGTACGAGTGCAGCGCTTGACGTGGGATCCCTTCTCGGTGATGAAGAACGTCGAGTCGTTGACGCCAGCCAGGCGCTGCGCGATGGAAGTTAGGTCCTTCCAGCAGTTGGAGCGCCAGCGGCCAGCCTCCGCGTCCGCGAGGCTGAGCTCGGCGCAGGGAATGCCATCCAGCCTGCGATACGGGGTGCGCCACTCGGTGACTGTGGAGGCGGCCGCGGGTGTGCGCCGCATCGTAGCAACCGGCGGCGTCTCGATGCCGTTCCGGGTCTCGGCGTTCGTCCAGGGCGCCGTGGCCTGGATGCCAGATTCGGCGAAGCTGTTCGGCGCAATGCGGAGGGGCTTGTGGCTGGTCTGCAGCTCCTTGCCGAGTGACGCGGACGGCTGCCCAAACAGCTAGCCCACGTGTTTTTCCCTACCTAGGCTCTGCCTAGAAGGGTTCTTACTCGGTTTGCTTAAAGGGCCGGGCAGTGGAAAGCGCCCCGTGCGGTTCCCCCGGTCCCCTGGGAGCCAAGCAAAAACAACAGCAAAGGTAAAAGCAAACGCGCGGTTCCCCCAGTCGCGCTCCCTGGGTGCCAAGCAAAAACAAAAGCAAAGGCAAACGTGAAGACAAAAGCGAAGGCAAAGCAACATCATAGCATAGCATAGCGTATCATAGCACAGCATAGCGCAGCATAGCATAGCGCAGCATAGCATAGCATAGCATAGCCTAGCCTAGCCCAGCATAGCATAGCGCAGCATAACATAGCATAGCATAACATAGCATAGCGCAGCACAGCACCCACTTTTGCTGCTGCTATATATCTATATAGCTATAGGAGAAGAGGAGAAGGAGGAGGACGGCGTTTACCGCTCCTACTAATGTTGCTTTCCTAGAGGCTCCAACTCCTAGGTCGGGTCGCACTGGGAAATTTTTTGGGGGGAGGAGAAGGAGGAAAGCAGAGGGGATGAATCGGACAGAGAGGCGACCACGACATCGCTCGAGTGACCCGTGCACTCCGTGACAGGACGCGCAGAGACGGCCCAGTGACTGTATTTACAGCAACAACCCAGAAGTAAAAAAGCACTGGCGAAGGGAAGGGCCGCCATATTAAAAACACCAGTCTTCAGAGACACCTGGTGTTTTTGGAGAGGGCGTTCGGATCGGCTGGTTTACAGCACCGGGCCCCCCAGCGTTCCAAAACTGCTACCGGCGCCGAGGCGGGAGCGAGCCCACGTGTGGGAGGCAGGTGGCCGCGGCGACGTTATACAGTTTGGTGCATTGTTGTGGTGGTGCATGCGAAGTGGCAATCTTCTCGGCCCGACCCAGCCCTGCAGATGACCCCTTTCCACTGGTCAGCGAACGCAGCTCCAGGTCCGATGCAGAGGCGAGGTGCCGAGCCATCGCCTCGATCTTGAAGCTGCGCCGAGGAGGGTGGGCCGTCGCCCATATCTCGCGCGTCTCCTCGACCGGGTTCTGGGTCGGCAGTGACGAGGTCGGCGCGATGATGCACTTCTTCGCTTGGGGCTTGAGGCCCGCCGGGCAGTCGGCGGCGATCAGGTGGGGCGCGAACTTAGCGACGTGGTGGAGCTGCGCGAGGATGGCACAGAGTCATCGGCGCAGGCGCTGACGTGGTCGCGGCGTAGCGCGGCCAACTCGCCGCTGAAGGCCCGCGCGAGCGGGTCGAAGATCAGCGCCCAGATCGCGCCGCTGAGCGGGGAACCTTGCGCTGCCCCAGAATCTTCGTCGAACAGCGGGCGCCGCTCGCCGCTGAGCTCGATGAACGCTGGCGGCATGAAGCAGCAGGCGCGCAGGGGCGCCGCCATGTGCCCGCAGATGCCCCAGTATTCGAGGACGTGCCGCATCCACTGGAGCACGAAGCTGGGGAAGGCGGCGGCAGCGATGTCAATGCTGGAAGGGCTGGCACGTCCACTGCTGATTCAGGGGGCACGCTATGGCGGCGCCCCTCCGCATCCACTGGCATTGCGTCGTGTGTGTGTGTGTGTGTGTGCGTGTGTGTGTGTGTGTGTGTGTGTGTGTGTGTGTGTGTGTGTGTGTGTGCGCGTGTGCGTCCGTGTGCGTGCGTGCGTGAGTGCGTGTGTGTGCGCGTGTGTGTGTGTGTGTGTGTGTGTGTGTGTGTGTGTGTGTCTGAAATCGTGTGTATGTGTGTGTGTTGTGTGTGCGCGTGTGTGTGTGTGTGCGCGTGTGTGTGCGTGTGTGTGTGTGTGTGTGTGTGTGTGTGTGTGTGTGTGTGTGTGTGTGTGTGCGTGTGTGTGTGTGTGTCTTTTGCTGTTTATGCGCGGTCTTGGCGGCCGCCTTGTGCGTGGGCCTGTTCGCTGCGGAAGCGATGAGCTTCGCGTCGGCATTCTTCAGTGATGACGGGCGACGGCAATCGGGGGCGCGCGCGCTCGACGTCGACGAGGGGCCCGTCGCCCTTGGGGAGCAAGGCCGCGAGGGAGTGGTTGAGGTCGATCGGCGCAGACTAGTTGATGACGTTGCTGCTGAGCTCGGCCAGCGTCTCGCTGCCAGGTGCGCGCAGCCGGGGTCGGTGCGCGGGGGGCGGGATTCATCTGGCCCAAGCGCGGAGTTGCCTGCCAGACGCGCGGCCTTCTCCGGACAGGCGGCGCCGGGGACATCCAGCTCGAGCAGGAGTCTCTGAGGGAAGACCCGCCCCAGGTAGTTGACGACCCCGGCGTCGTCGACATGTTTGGCGGCGGAGGATGGCGCCCAGTGGTTCATGATGGCCGCGCGCGTCGCGGCGGGGTCACGGGCCATGTTGCTCGCGTTGCCGACGATGACCTTGCTGGCGGCGAGGGCGGGCCTCCTCGAGATGGGCTTCCAGAGCAATCCCTCGCGACCTTCGTCTCGTGGACGCTGCCTCCGCTTGTCGCCGAGCTGTGCAGTGTTCCGGGTTTGGGCGGCGCGAGAGCGGGCGCCCGCATCCGCCTCTCTCTCGTCGCTGAAGCTATCGAGGGTGGTGTCCGTCTCCAGCTCGAAGGCCTCGAGGTTGTTGAGCTCCGCCCGGCCGCCCGTGACCCTCGAGCGGTGGCGACGGGTCTCGGAATTGGTGGCCGTCTTCGCGGCAGGCGCCGCGTCCCGGCACCAGATAATTCAGGCGATGTTGTGAATTGACATGCCGCGTGCTTCTTCCTTGATGCTGGCCGACTGGCCGGTGGGCTCGGCTGTCGGGGTGCCGGTCATCGCGTCGCGGGCTCGGCGAGCGGCTTCGTGCGTCGGGGGCTTCGGGGTGCGCCGCTTCGTCGTGGCAGCCATGGGCTCCGTGTCGTCGCGAGGATGCAGCTGCTTGATGTAGGGCCGGCGGAGTGCTGAGTCGAAAATGGCGTTTCCGTTGCGGACGCTGACGAGCAGGGCGAATGCGCGGGAGTCTGATCTTGTGGCCGCTGTCTATGCTGTTCAGGCCTTCCAGCGGTGCGTCGTCGGCAGTCAGCGCCGCCTCCATCAATCGCATGGCGTGGGCAGGGAGCGAGATGAATCATTGGTCAATCGGTCGCGTCGGCGATGCTCCCGCGGGCAATGGCCAGGGTGGTCTCCGCCATGCCCTGGAAGAGGTTGTGCCAAAAGACGGGCTGGCGCTGGTACAGCTGGGTGGCCGTCGTTGCCGAGCCCGCCCGCGCGTGGGTGCTCCGAGACGATGAAATCGCCGAGCAGGATCAGCGTGCGCTCCAGGGGGCCCATGTCGGCCCGCGCCGCCAGGAGACGCGATTGTCGAATAATCTCGGCCCGATCCGCTGGTGACAGACTGTGCTCGTGGGTGTTCGGAATCGCGCCGTCGTGTTGCCGGCAACTGTCGGTTACTCTGACCCATGCTGCTCGCCATGGAACGGGCGCTGCGAAGTGTCGGAGTGGTCGCCCTTCGGGCGGGCGGCTCAGCTCGGCTTGTGGAACAGGAGGGGGAAGCCAACATTGCCTGTTAAGGCGATGCACGCGATGCCCGAGTGGTGTGACGTGTACGCGTGCTTCGTAGACTGAGCTAGCATGCGTAGGTCCTCGGCGTTGTTGTGCGTCTCCTGCTGCGCGATCACGGCTCGTTGGCGAAGAAGAGGAACCATGCGGCGTCGCTTCTCCTGACGTTGACGACCAGATGCTCCGAATAAAACTTGAGTGTTCCAGAACGCGATGCTGGTGTCTCCTGTGCTGGCTTCTCGGCCCAAGGCGACCACCTCGTGCGAACGCCACTGCGCGTCCGCCAGGGCGTCAGAGAAGCCGCTCTCGAACTTAATGATGATGCTGCGCTGGTGCTGGTCATCGATGCCATTGGCGAGTGCAGCAGCATCCTACTGCGCACGCGTCGGCGCATCAGCAACGTGACCCATGTAGCCCAACGCCCTGTTGGTGCGCAGATCGGTGTTCCGGGATCTGTTGTTGATGAGCTTGGCGTGGCGCTTGATTTGGACTTCTCTTCGCAACGTCTTGGGGCACTTATCAGCAGAAACAGATAGAGGCACAGCAGGGGCAGGGCCCACGAAGATGTGGTAGTCTTTGAAATTATGGCTTCGACGTAGAAATTCACAAAGGCGTCGCGCCCTGGGTTCGGCAACGGCCGCGCTTCCCCTGACCGTGAAGGAGTGGCCCTTGGCGGAGCCGACGGTGTTGAACGACACCTGGGTGGAGTCGACGTTGGCAGCTGCGAGCCAAGACGATAGTGTGGGGCGCGAACCACTTTTCGTGAATGCTGTCGCACATCCACACGAAAGAGTGCACAGGTCAGCGTCTCTGGTCTTCGAGCCCAGCGAGTCGATGTCGACATCACGTTGGCGTTCTTCAGCTTCACACGACTTTCTGAAGAGAGGCGACTGCATCTGGTAGATCTGGTAGATCTTTGTTGAGTTTTGTTCGGACTTCTCCATGCGCGACTTGATGTCCTGGACCTCCTTCTCGGTGCGCTCGTTATTACTGCTGAGGTCGGCTGCGATCTGCTGAATTGTTTCGAAGAACTGCGCCCTGGCGGTGTCGCTGACGGCTTTGGCGGTGGCCTCAAACTTGGATGCAACATCTTGAACTTGTGCGGCGACAGTTTCTTTTGCGTACATGGCCATGTCGGTCTTTGACGACAGTTTTGAAACCAGATGCGACCCATGGATCATGACCTCGCTTGTCTTTTCCTGGCGCAGCAAGTGAGCAGGTGAGAAGAGGTCCGCGGCAACCTCGTGAACTGCGAGTGACATGTAGGTCAACAGTGGGCGAACACGGGTGCAAGTGATATGAAGCTCACCCCCGTGGGCACGAGGAGGTCACAAGCAATAGTCCGACGCTGTCTCTGGACACAGGGCCTCCGAGCTCCGCCGCGAGGCGAAATCATCTCGAGCCACAGCCGCTACGGAGGACAAGGAGGTAGAGGAGGAGGCGGAGGACGAGGAGGGGGCGGAGGAGGAGGAGGAGGAGGTGGAGGAGGAGGAGGTGGAGGAGGAGGAGGAGGAGGAGGAGGAGGAGGAGGAGGAGGATGAGGAGGAGGTGAGGAGGAGGAGGAGGAGGAAGAAGAGGAGGGGGAGGAGTAGGAGGAGGAAGAAGACGAGGAGGAGGAGGAGGAGGGGGCGGAGGAGGGGGAGGAGGAGGGGGAGGAGGAGGAGGAGGAGGAGGAGGAGGGGGAGGAGGAGGAGGAGGAGGAGGAGGAGGAAACACTCAACAAGCGGGCCCTGGGCACGCGCAAGCTGCGCGCGAGTCGGCAACTGCTCGGAGTCGCCGCCGAGCGGCCTGGAGGGCGCTGCTGGCCGGCAGGGCCTCGCCAGCGGACACCTCTCTGTGGGCCGTGGCCCGCCAGGCCGCCACATCCTGCAGATCTGTTCCGCCGCTCTTGGCGGCGCGCGCGAGGGGGTGGCGCGAGGGGGCAGGCCTTCCAAGAAGGCGGGAGGAGGGCTTCTAAGAAGACGGGCGACTTCTGAGAAGCCCTCCTGGCCTCTGGGAGGCCTTCTTGAACCCCCCCAGGCCCTTCCACGAAGGCCCCGGTCTTCTGAGAGGCCCCCAACTGTCTTAGAAGGCAGATGCGTGCCACTAACATCAGGCGCTGCCTCTCTGGCCCCCCGTTTGGCGTGAGGTGGGCGAGCAGGGCTGCCACGCCTGGCCAGCGAAGCGCTGTCATTACGCGCCTTCGGGCGCTCCTCCTCCTGCCTGCCGTTGCTGCTCCTCCTCTTCTCCTCTTCCTCGTTCTTCTCTCTCCAACAAGTCCTCCTTGTCCTCCGCCTCCTCCTCTTCCCTCCTCCTACGTACTCATCCCTCCACAATTACTCAATATGAATACTACTCTCCTCCTTCCCCTGATGACGGGTTGGGAGTGTTCGCCCCCCCCCCCCCGCGTACTGTTTTTTACACACAGGATTCCCCGGAGTTGGGTTTTCGCCTGCATTTTTTCAAAATGCTGCTCTCGCTGAGGCGCCGGCCTCATTTTCGGGCCCCGCTCGTTCCGAATCGTGCTCCCGCTGCAGCGCTGGCCTCATTTCCGTGCTTCCGCTCGTTCCGAATCGTGCTCCCGCTGCAGCGCTGGCCTCATTTCCGCGCTTCCGCTCGTTCCGAATCGTGCTCCCGCTGCAGCGCTGGCGTCATTTCCCGTGCCATGCCACGGCATGCAATGCAATGCTAGGTTGCGTTCCGCTGCGCGATGCCATGCCTTCAGCTGAAGCTGCGATATGCAGTGCTTAAGTGCCACGTCGTGCTATGCCATGCTACGCTTTGATCTTCAACGCCATGCTATGCAATGTTATGTTCGGGGCCGCTGTGCGATGCCATGCTTTGCGTTGCAAAGCTTTGTGATGCAATTCTTCACTACGCCACGCCACGCCATGCTGTGACATACTACGCTTCGCTGTGCTCTTCTACGCCCCTGCTCGACATCCGACTGTGCGAGTAGAGAGGGGATCTACGCCATGGTAAGGGATGGGAGGGAGGGGTACGATGTCAGATATGACGCGAGCGCACCTAGCTTGTCCTCCCCCCTCCTCATCCTCCTTCAGCTCCTCCTCCTTGTCCTCCTCCTGCTGCTCCTCCACCTCCTCATCCTCTGCCTTGTTCTTCTCCTCCTCCTGCTTGTGCTCCTGCTCCTCCTCCTCCTCCTCCTTGTCCTAATCCTCCTCCTCCTGCTCCTCCTCCTCCTCCTCCTCATCCTCTTGATCGTCCTCCTCCTCCTCCTTCCCCCCTCGTCTTCTGCTCCGGCTGAATCGGGGGTCTGCTGAGCCGTCGGCGCTGAGGCCGTACTCCAGGTCCGAGACCTTGGACACGTCAAAACTCTCCCTCTCTCGTCCGGCCCTATCTCTCTCTCTCTCTCTATATATATATATGGATACACACATATATATGTATCGGCATGCATCTATGTAGATACACGCATTCACCCATACACACATACATACAAGCAAACATACGTACAGCCATACACGCATACGTACATACATACATACATACACGTGCACATCCATCCATCCATCCGGGCATGCATCCATCCATGCATACACACATGCACACATACATACATACACACATACATACATACATACATGCACACATGCATACATGCATACATGCATACACACATACACGCCGACACACATACACACATACATACATCACATTCATTACAACGCACTACATTACATTACATTTCATTAAATTACATTCCATTACATTGCGTTACATTACTTTACATTGTATTACATTGCATTGTACTGCATTTCGTTACATTGCATACATGCACACACACATACATACATACATACATGCGTACACACATACATACACACTCACATACATACACACATACATACACACATACATACACACATACATACATACACACATACATACATACATACATACATACATACATACATACATACATACATACATACAAACCTACACTCATACATACATACATACATACATACATACATACATACATACATACATACATACGTACATACACACATACACACATACACACGTACATACATACGTACAGCCGTACATACATACAAACATACGTGCATACATACATACATGCATACATAAACGGTACCTTAAATGTTGTCCCTCCCCTCCCTCGATCGTCTCTCCTCGCTGCTCCTCTCCCTCCTCCTCCACCTCTCCCGTCCCGTTCCCCTTCCCGCTCTCCCCCTCCATCTCCCCTCGCCGTTCCCCTCCCGCCCGGCTCCTCCACCGAGCGGGCGAGCGCGCACGATCCAAATGGCTGGGCCAAGATCTGCCATGAGGTCCTACCTCTTTCCGCCTCTCTCCTACTTGGCCTGTGACTACACGAAGAGTCCGCTGGCAAACTTGCACATGGGGTCTCGTGCGGGTGGATCCGTGCCGTGCGCCTCGCTGCCACTCCGTCCCAGCCTGCCCCGGCGTTCCCCGGTCGGCGTGTCGGCCACCCTCTTCGATGTGTGCCAGCGCGGGAAGTGATGGTCCTTCCTGCGCACGCAGATCCAACTGCTGTTCACGTACTGGCAAGACTGTGGTTACAGCGAGTACCGACCAACCGACCGACCTCTCCCCCTCCTCCTGCTGCTCCTCCTCCCGCTCCTTCTCCTCCTCCTCCTCATCCTCTTCTCTTCCATCGTTGCCACCCCTCCTCCCTCCTACTATTTTTTCTCGTGCTCCCTCGTGTCCTTTTCCTCTTCCCCTCCTCCGCCCCTTTCATTCGCAGCTCGATCACGCAGGGTGGACTGGACAAGCAGCGGATGGTGTCATCGACATGTACGTATGTGCTTGTCTGTATGTATATACATTTACGCAAGACATCATATACATATCATGTGCAACTATAGGGAGAACTCACATGCATACATGTAAACATATATATTTATATATATACGTGTGCACGTATACTGATATATACATATATATAGATGCATACATACATATATATACATACATATATATATCACTATGTAGAGTGTGAGAGAGAGGGGGAGAACGAGAGAGCGAGAAGAAGATATAGAAAGGGATCTATATATATATATACACTTAAGGCAGAGAGAGAGCGAGAGCGAGAGAGAGAGAGAAAGAGAGGGCGATAGAGAGAGATAACGAGAGAGAGAAAGTGCTTTCGAGGAGCGCGCGCGCATCACACCCCCTCAGCAGGATTGTTTGGGATGGGGTGCGTTGTTGCTTGCTCGCGATGCTCGTGTCCCTGTTCGTTTATTCCCTACCTAGGCTCTGCCTAGAAAAGTTCTTACTCGGTGTGCTTAAAGGGCCGGGCAGTGGTCCCCGCCCCGGGCGGTTCCCCCAGTATCCGCCCCGCGGTTCCCCCAGTTACGTCCCCTTAGCTTAGCGCTGCTTATCTCATCTTAGCTTAGATTATTTCATCTTAGCTTAGCTTAGGTTCATCTTAGCTCAGGTTTATCTTAGCCCAGCATAGCATAGTGTAGCGCAGCATAGCATAGCATAGCATAGCATGGGTGTAATTTCCTACCTAGGCTCTGCCTAGAGGGTTAGCTTAGCTTAGCTTAGCTTAGCCCAGCTTAGCTTACCTTAGCATAGCGCAGCGCTGCATTAACATATCATAGCATGACATACTATAGCCAAGCATCGCATATCATAAAATATCATAGCGTATCATAGCATACCATACCATATCATATCATATCGCATCTCCGCATAACATATCATATCACAACTTAGCATAGCACAACGCATCATGTCATACCATAGCTTAGCATAGCGCAGCAATTCATATCATAGCAACTCATAGCGCAGCATAGCATGGCATGGCATGGCATGTCATAGCATAGCAACTCATGCTGCTTTCCTAGGGGCTCCAACTTCTAGGTAGGGTCGCACTGGGGTAATTTCCCAACCATCCTGTGGTGCTGGGTCCTCGTTTTGAAGAGACGGTCCCAGCGTTCCTCCTCCTCCCTACTCCCTCTCCTCCCTCCTCCCTCCTCCTCCCTCCTCCTTGCGTTTCACCCACCCAGTACACCGCTTTGTGGCCCCATAGGCCTAAACTGCCTGGGAGCGCCTGGGGCCGCCTGGGGAGCGCGTGGGGCCGCCGAGGAGCGCTTGGGCGCTCCTGGAGCGTCGCTGGGGGCGCCTGGAAACACATCAAGCTTCTTGGAGCACTTAACACAGCCTGGAGGGCGCATGGAGCTGCCGCGGGGCGCTTGGGCCTTCCGCGTTTGGGAGCGCCTGGGGCCGCCTGGGTAGCGCCTGCACCCCGCACCGCTTGGGGTCGTCTGGGCGCTCCTGGAGCGTCTGGGAGCGCCTGGGAACGTCTGCGAGCGCTTGGGCGCTCCTGGAGCGTCGCTGGGGAGCGTCGCTTGGGCGCTCCTGGAGCGTCGGAAGCGCGGATCCTGGGTTTTCGCAACAAGGATCGCGGCCTCGGAAACGCCGACCATATTCTATGCGCAGAAGCCCTATGCGCATATTTTCTTGGCATGGGTTTCCACTGTCACCAACGAAACTTTGTAGGCGCAGAAGCGCCTGGGTGCAGGAGGAACGCTGGAGGAACAACGACGGAAGGACATGGGGCCCCTTCCGCACACGAACTGTACCTGGTCTCGGCGCCTTGACTGGAGGGCCAGAAGTGGGGTTAGAGGAAAAATCAATCTGAACGGCCCCTGTGGGAGGGAAGCACCATTGACAGGCTGAGTTCGCTCCCGAACCCCGCCCTGGGCTGAAGTCCCCGCTGCGTGCCCTCGACTGCAAGTCCCTGGAGGTCCTCTCAAGATCTCAGGAGGCCCCCAGAGTTCCACGGAAATCCCCAGAGGCCTCCGCGGAGGCCCCCCCCAAAAGGCCCCAGACCACCCAAAACCTAATTCCTCGTCCTGCTCCGGCTCCTCCTGCTCCTCCCCCCTCAGAACCCCCCCCCGAACCTCGATGCTCCTCGCCGAAAGCCGGCCCATCACACTTCTTCAGGGGCGCTTTCTGGCCACAACCTCGAATCGAAGGGCACCTGAGCGACGCAAAGACCGGGTCTCACGCGCGATGACACAGCGAGCCTGCGCGGCGGCTCACGCGGGCCGCCAGCGCGGCATGCTAAATCGTAAACGAGGGCGCCCACGCGCGAACCTGCGCGCGCAACTTGTGCGCGACTGCCCGCGCAATCGAACGCCCGCTTCTCTTCGCCCACCCGGCAGCATTGACAATGAGCCCCCCTACAGGCCAGAGAACGCGCCAAACACTCCCGGGTTTTCGCTCGGCCCTCGCCCCCGGTCGCAAGTTTGGACGCCCGACGTGGGTACGGAAAGAGTGGTACAATGCCCAACAGCTGAATGTTGTCACAAACCAACAGCGGCCGCTGTTGGGCAGGCGGCCTTCTGTCTCAGATGGACACAGTCCCCGGCGACGCTGACAGCGAATCCTCTTCAAAACGAACAGGAACTGCTGTCGGTCTTTGTGCTCATTCTTTCGTACCCATTTCGATCGTCCCCAGCAGGCCTTGGTCACGCCCGGGTTCAGCGGCTGGTTCCCTGCCCGCAGGAAGCTCTCGACCATGACCCCCGCGATCGCGCCGCTGCCCCCCGCCACCTGGTCGCCGCCGCCGTCGTCGTCGTCGTCGTCGGCGCCGTCGTCGCCGTCGTCGTCGTCGTCGGCGTCGTCGAACCCGTCGTCTTCGTAGTCGCCGTTGTTACCGCCGTTGCCGTCGCCGTCGCCGTCGCCGTCTCCGTCGCCGTCGTTGTCGAGGGAGAGGAGGGGGTGGAGGGATCGGAGGAATGAGGCAGGCTTCGGGAGATATTGGCAGGTAGGCTGAAAAATCAGCGGGAGGGAGGAATAGGAAGACGGAGGAGGGGGCCCTCATTCTCCCTCGCTTGCCTCATCCTCGTTGCCCCCTTCATCGCTCTGGCATTCTTCCCCCTCCTGCTTCTCATCCTCCTCCGCCGCTTCCTCTTTCTCTTCCTCCTGCACCTGCTCCTGCTGCTCGTCTTCTTCGTTCTCGAGCGTAGCCGATGGGCAGCGCCGATGGCGATCGGACGATCTACCACCGAGCAACGGCTTGAGCTCGTTCAGATTGTCTCTGGCCGAACGTTCTGGCATGCAAATTGTTTATTTCAGTTCGAATCGCATCCAATCAAAATGTCAGCCAGCGTGGGACCCAAACAGTAGGTTCTTGCAGTCTATGCGGTGCAACCTATGTGTGTACTGTATGCGATGCAATCGATGTAATGCAATATATGCGGTGCAATCTATGTGGTGCACTCCAGATGGTGCAATCAACGCGGTGCAACCTATGCAGTGCAGTCTAGGCGGTGCAATCTACGTGGTGCAAGTTATACTACTGCTACTACTACTGGTACTGCTAGCACACCTGCTAGTACTGGTGCTGCTCTTCTTCTTCTTCTGCTTCTTCTTCTACTTTTAGATTTGTTCCCCACATCCAAAGTGGGGTTCTTGTTTTCTCTGCACACGCCGCGCAGGATCTCACACACCCCCTTTCCTCTCTCTCTCTCTCACTCACCAGCATCGCCATCACCATCACCATCAACCACCATCATCGTCATCACACGCACACACTCATCATCATTACCATCATCATCATCACTATCAACCACCATCACCGTCATCACTAGTCATCATCATTATCCTCATCATCATCGTCACCTTCATCACCACTCGATCACCCACTCACTCACTCAATTACCCACTCATCCTCAGTAAGCTTCGGAGGCAGTGGTCCTCCGACGGTAGGACCGCCGCCACTCTCAACATCATCGTCACCATCTCCATCATAATCTCCCGATCGCCCACTCAGTGGCCATCATCATCATCATCATCATCCTCATCATCCTCATCCTCATCCTCATCATCACTCATTCATCACACACTCATCATCATCATTCGCTCACTCATCATGTCGTCATCAGGCGGGAGCCTCTGATTGAATTGCGAGGAAGTCTCAGGCGGGAACCCCCTCCCTATGGGGCCCGCAGATCATGTTACTCATCCGAACGGGCCATCGGAACCCTATAACTGTCGTCACTTTTGGGCCTCTGAGGCTTGAGTATGCAGGAAGTATCAGGCGCGAACCTTGTCTGTGAGGGAATTGCGAGGAAGTCTCAGACGGGAGCCCCCTCCCTATGGGGCCCGCAGATCATGTTACTAATCCGAGCGGGTCATCGGAACCTTGTAACTGTCGTCACTTTTGGGCTCTTGAGGCCTGAATATGGAGGAAATATCAGGCGGGAGCCTCGTCTCTGAGTGAATTGCGAGGAAGTCTCAAGCTGGAGCCCCCTCCTTATGGGGCCCGCCGATCATGTAACTAATCCGAGCGGGTCATCGGAACCCTGTATTTGTCGTCACTTTTGGGCTCTTGAGGCTTGAATATGAAGGAAGTCTCGAGCGGGAGCTTCGTCTGTGAGTACATTGCGAGGAAGTCTCAGGCGGGAGCCCCCTCCCTATGGGGCCCGCAGATCATGTTATTAATCCGAGCGGGTCATCGGAACCTTGTAACTGTCGTCACTTTTGGGCCTCTGAGGCTTGAATATGCAGGAAGTATCAGGCGGGAGCCTCGTCTGTGAGTGAATTGCGAGGAAGTCTCAGGCTGGAGCCCTCTCTCTATGGGGCCCGCAGATCATGTTACTAATCCGAACGGGTCATCGGAACCTTGTAACTGTCGTCACTTTTGGGCTCTTGAGGCCTGAATATGGAGGAAGTATCAGGCGGGAGCCTCGTCTCTGAGTGAATTGCGAGGACGTCTCAGGCTGGAGCGCCCTCCTTATGGGGCCCGCCGATCATGTAACTAATCCGAGCGGGTCATCGGAACATTGTAACTGTCGTCACTTTTGGGCTCTTGAGGCTTGAATATGGAGGAAGTCTCGAGCGGGAGCCTCGTCTGTGAGTGAATTGCGAGGAAGTCTCAGGCGGGAACCCCCTCCCTATGGGGCACGCACTTCATGTTCGAACCCGAGCGGGTCATCCGAGCGAGCTTTTTGGGCTCCTGAGCTCGTGCGGCCTGAACACGGGGGAAGTATCAAGGGGGAACTTTGTCTGTGGGCGGTGCGGGTAGCCCCGTCAGAGGACCGTCTCCTGTCGTCACTTGGAGGTCTGAGGACAGATTTTAGAACTCGCTCCTGCGGCCTGAATACCGGGGAGTTACCAAGCGGGAGTCTCGTCTGTCTGAACTGGTCGCGGGCAAAATTCTTGTTGTCATGGGCCTGCGTGCCCGAAAAGGCGATTGAGAAGTCCGGGTAGCATCGTCCGAGCTGGTCGTCGGCAAACTTGTTGTAATCATGCGACAGCGTGGAGGTCCGAGAGGCTCCGCCGCCCCACGGCACCAGCACGAGAATTTCCAGCTCGGCTACGGCATGGGCATCTACTGGGAGACGCTGGCGAGGTGGATCAACACGCGCGCTCGTCGCGACGCGCGGCGCCTCGGCGTCCCCCTCGTTTTCCTGCAGGCCGTAGACGAGTGCGGCACGATTCAAAGCGACCCAGACGCAGGCCGGCGCCTCGTGAACGTCCCGAACATGCACAAGACGGGATACATCCACGGCGTCTTACCGGCACACGTCGGCATGGAGGTCCGGTTCACGGCCGTGCAGGAGGAGCTGAAAAAGAAGTTGGGGCTCGTGCAGGAGCAATGGGCCACCATCGTGTCCTTCGAGTTTCACGCAGACGACGAGCGGGACTATGAGGAGTGCGCGCCGGGCCAGCTCTTCCGCCCCCGCTTCCTACCGCAGGGAATCTGGCTGCAGGTGTACGGCTTCCAGGAGTCCCCGATCTACAAGGAGGTCGCCGAGGTGCTGCTGCAGGGCGCCGATGGCGCTGCCGACGACGGCGAGGCCGAAGCGCGGGCGAGGAGCTTGCTCATGTGGAACAGGAGCTCACGTGGCAAAGCTCGGGGGCGCACGCTGTGCACCGCTCGGGGTTCACCCTGACGCATGCGTCCTACCTGACCTCCACGCTGTCGCAGGGCCAGACGCTGCGCAAGGGCGTCACCATCGACTGCGCCAGGGAGGAGGACGCTGGCCGCACGGGCATGTCGGACGAGATGTGGTGGCTGCACCTCTACGTCATGTTCTCCCGCGCCACGTGCATGCGGAACATGCTGATCCTGCGGCCGCCCGCGCGAGAGTTCCTGGAGCGCGGGCCGCCGGCGTCACTGCGGAAGGCCCTCCAGGAGTTCGACAAGAGAGCGGTGGATTCCAGGGCTGAGGCGGAGCAGCTCGCGACAGAGCTGGGCTTCGTGCTGCCGCCCGCCTGAGCGCCGCGGCGCGCACCTAGAGGCCCGCGGGGTTGTCCCAACGGCTGGCTCCCGCGCCCCTGCGGCCTGCGAGGTTGCCCCAACGGCCTGGCCCGAAGGGTTGCCCCGACGGCTTCGCGATCTAGCCGTCGGCAAACGCGCGCGTGCTGGTCGACGCGGCGACGGCGCCGAGGAAAATCGAGTTGCTTGCCACGACCAGGGGGAACGGGAGGTGCACATGGAAAAGAAGCACGAGGATGATGAGGGAAGGGGCATGGGGGAGGGCGACGACGAAGAGGAGGTGGCGCGAGAGGAGGAGGAGGAGGAGGAGGAGGAGGAGGAGGAGAAGGAGGATAAGTAGAAAGAGGAATATAATGAGGAAGAGAGGGCAGTACAGAGGGCGAGAGGAGAGGGTGTCCGCCAGGGGGAGGAGGAAAGGGCAAAGGCTAAGCTAAACATATTCTCGTGCGGGGTCCTACCGTCGGAGTAATTATTATACTACTCCTACTCGTAACTGATACTGATACTGATACTACTACTACTACTACTACTACTACTACTACTACTACTACTACTACTACTACTATCACTACAACGACTAGTACTGCTGCTGCTACTACTATTGCTTCTACTACCACTACTACTGCCACAGCAGCAACTACTACTACTACTACTACTACTACTACTACTACTACTACTACTACTACTACTACTACTACTACTACTACTACTACTACCCCTACTACTACTATTGCTGTTACTACTACTGCTACTACTACTACTACAACTACTACTACTACTACTACTACTACTACTACTACTACTGCAACTGTTACGACGAGTACTATTACAACTACGACTGCGACTACGACGACCACCACCACCACCACCACCACCACTACTACTACCACTACTACTACTACTACTACTACTACTACTACTACTGCTGCTGCTGCTGCTGCTGCTGCTACTGCTACTACTACTACTACTACTACTACAACTACTACTACTACTAGTACAACAACAACTACTACTACTACTACCACTACTACTACTACTACTACTACTACTACTACTACTACTACTACTACTACTACTACTACTACTACTACTACTACTACTACAATTAGTACTACTACTGCTACTACTACTACTACTACTACTACTACTACTACTACCATTCCTACTGCTACTACTGCGACTGCTACGGCTACGACTACGCCGACGACGACGACGACGACAAAGACGACGACGACGACGACGACGACTACTACTACTACTACTACTGCAAAAACTACTAATACTGCAGCTACTACGGCTATTACTACACTTGCTAGTGCTACAACTACTACTACAACAACTACTACTGCTACTACTACTACTACTACTACGACTACGACTACGACGACGACTACTACTACTACTACTACTACTACTACTCCTGCTATTCCTGTGACTACTGCTACTACTACTCTACGTGGTGCAAGTTATACGACTGCTACTACTACTGGTACTACTACGACTGAAACTACTGAGACTACTGATACCACTGATACTACCACTGCTACTACTACGATTACTACGACTACTACTATTATTATTACTACTACTACAACAACTACTACTACTGGTACTAAGATTCACTAAGCGGGTCGCGCAAGGGCGGGACCGACAAAACTTCCGACGGGCGCGGCAAAGACGAAGCAGGCGCCGCGCTGACACAGCATTGCCATTTTCACCCGCAAGCTGGTGGCGTTTGGGCGAGGTCGGCATTTCGCCCGCTCTCGCGAGGCCCCGCTGCCGCTGTCGCTGTCGTGCGCTTCGGCGAGCGAGCCATGCGTCGCGCCCGCGCCGGAGCGCCACTTTAAGCCAAATGCGCACGGAGCTTGGGCGAGGGCGACACGTCGTCCACTCGCGCGGGCCCCATTCAACCTCTGGCGAGTCACGAAAATGCGCCCCGCCGAACACAGTAACACCGCTTTCTGGCGACACCTGCCGGGCGCCGAGGCGAGAGCGGCATTCTCGTCCGCTCGCGCGTCGACGACAGTGCCTGCGACGAACGTGCACGGCACCCGAGCGGGAGCCCAATTCTCCAGACAAGATGAAAGCGGCGCTGGGGCGAAAACGGCACTTCGGCCTTTCGCGTGGGACGCGCGCCCCGTCCCGCTCCTGCCATGCATGCATTTTGCACCATGCGCGGCGTACTATCCATGTGGATAGCAAACGCGTAAACTTTGCATGCTCGTTTTTAAGCTTAGGAAGGGAGGGCCCAGACTGACCGGCCATCGGGCCGCTGTGGTGAAGGCCAGGGGTATTTACCAATTCGCAATGCAAATAAGGACTAAGGTTAAGGATATAGGGCTGGGATATAAGGATTAGAGAGGTACATCGAGGATATAGGGTAGGGATGCACGGGACAGGTATCGAGGCCGAGAGAGAGATACGGACAGGGATGGACACTGGGAGACAACGGGGGACAATGGGAGACAATATGGGGCAGTAGGAGACAGCGCGAGACAGTGGGGATAGGGATAGGGATCGGGATAGACGATGTGAGACAATGGGAGACGAGACCACGGGAGACCATGGGAGACCGTGGGAGACAATGCGAGACAACGCCGCTTGACCGATTCCGGCTCCGGAAGACCACCTACTGGTATCTTAGATCGAATCGGTCGAACCCTTACCCATCGGTCGGAAGAAGTAGAGTAGGTAGAAACATGGAAGAGCGAAGGCTTTGAGAGTAGACTGGGTTTCCGCCCGCCCCCTGACCTCAGGGAAGAGGGGAAGCCGCTCGATCGTTGAAATAGGAGGGCGCTGAAAGTAGCTTGGAATCTGGGAATCCAGAAGTATCTACGGGAGGTTCGCGTCGTGCCGACCCCAGCGTTGGTTCCTGACACCGCAGGGATCGTTCAACCTTGAACGATCGGCCGTCTCCGCAACGTCCGATCGTTCAACATCGACCGATTCTGGGTCGCCGGCGGCGTTCAACCTTGAACGTCGGCGGCGGGGTCGCCGCTGGTCGACACGACGCAAACCTACCGTACTTTCAACGACCGATGGGTACGGACAAGCCGCTTACGGACACACCTCTGCGATCTCTGCCACGGCGCGGGGAGGGCCAACCCTCCAGGCCACAGCTCGGGCCCCTGGCGGCCGCTCGGCACCATCCGGGGGGTGGCACCGCCGAGCCGCTCCCAGCGAGGCGTGGCTGCTACTCCGAGGCTGGAAAACCGCCGGGGACCGACGAGGACGTCAGAAAATCTCGAACCCCCCGCACTCCTTTCCGCATCTGCAGGGGCTACGGGAATTATCAAATTTCGTGCCTCTCGAACACGACCCCGAAACCACGACCGTGAAGGCGTCCAGCACAGCCGGCGATAAAGGCTATACAAAAGCAAGGGGTCCAAGCGACCTCCAGGAATTCCACAGAGGCCCCCAAGGGAGTCTCCAACAGGCCCCCAAGAAGCTCCCCAGGAGTTCCCAAGAGTGGCTCCAGAGGTCTGCAAAGAGCTGGACTGGACATACTCCGAGCAGCTCGCAGAGACCCTCCAGATGCCCCAATGACGTTGGCAGCGCCCCAGTTCGGGCAGAGCGACACGGCAGACCGGCGCGACAGGTGTGCAGGGAAAACCACCAGACGCCCAGTCTTTACGTGATCCGGACGTGCACTCCGCGGAACGAGAGGAATCTCGAACCTCGAATGCGATGAGGTCCGCGTCTTCCCGCTGCCCCCTACCCCTGCTGAGGTGTAGCGACAGGGGGGGGACTGACTCAGGGTGGACATCGAGCTGGGTCCATGTCCACCCCCCCCGAGACTACCCCCCCCAAGTGTTCCTTGTCTTCTGAATTTCCTGTTATAGCTCGGGTCTCTGGCGGCCCCTCGGGACGATTCGGGCACCCCTGGCACGCCCTCGACGAGGCGCAACATATGGAGAGCACGGGCCCAGAAAACTCCCAGAAAACTTTCGAACTCCCCCTCTGAGCCTACAGTAGGGGACCACAAGAACCTTCCACAAGAAACCCAACCCTGGAACCCCAGGACGTCCATTGATTTTTGGCGTGGGGACGTCACGCTTTCCACAGCAAAACCATCGAAACCCAAGAAACCCAGGGCACCCTGGAGGCCAGCAAGGTGTTTCTTGGCATGGGGCCCCACTGTATCACCCCCCCTGACGTTGCGGCACCCGCGCGGCCCACCCGCAGGGGTCGCCTGGGCACCCACCGCCCTGCACGAGTCGAGCTGGCCCTCGTGCCGCTTCCCGCTGTTCGCGTGCGAGCAGTCCACCACGACCTGGAGGCGAGGAGGAGGGAGCATGAGGTTGAGGTGGGGGAGAGGGATCATGAGGAGGGAGGATGAGGAATGATAATGATGATTCTGCTGCTGATGATGACGGTGACGATGACGATGACGATGACGATGACGACGACGACGATGATGATGATGATGATGATGATGATGATGATGATGATGATGATGATGATGATGATGATGATGATGATAATGATAATGATGATGATGATGATGATGATGATGATGATGATGATGATGATGATGATGATGATGATGATGACTATTATGATCATGATGATGCAAATGATGAGGATGAGGAGAATGACGAGGATGGTGATGACGGCGACGACGACAACGATTATGCTGATGATGCTAATAATGCTGCTGCTGATGATGGTGCTGATGGTGATGATGACAATGACGACGAACATGCTGATGACGATGATGATGATGATGATGATGATGATGATGATGATGATGATGATGATGCTGAGGAGTCGAAGGAGGGGACGGAGGAGGACAAAGAGAAAGGGCAGGGTAAGGATGAGGGGGCGGGAAGGAAGGACAATGAGGCCGAGGACGATAAGGAGGATATGAGGATGGTGGTGAAGATGATGGTGAAGATGGTGATGACGATGGTGATGACGATGGTGATGATGATTGTGACGACAATGCTAATGACGATGACGATGACGATGGTGACAACGATATCATGATTATGACGATGATGATGCTGATGATGACGCTGATGACGTTGATGATCATGCTGATGATGATGCTGATGATGCTGCTGAGGTTGATGTTTTTGATGATGCTGCTGGTGCTGATGGGGGTGTCAATGCTGATGCTGATTATGATGATGCTGGCGATGGTGATGACGATGCTGATGATGCTGATGCTTAGGATGATGCTGATGATGGTGCTGATATGACGACGACGATAACGATGGCGATGATGACGACAATGATGATGCTGATGATGATGACAACGATGCTGACGATGACGATGACGATGCTGAGGATACTGACCACGATGCTGATGATGATGATGATGGGCATGATGATGCTGATGATGATGCTGATGGTAATGCTGATGTTGATGATGATGATGATGGTGATGCTGGGGATGGTGATGATGATGATGCCGATGACGATACTGATTATGACGATGATGATGCTGATGCTGATGCTGATGACGATACTGCTGCTGATGATGATGACGGTGCTGGTGATGACGATGATGATGCTGATGATGTTGATGCTGGTGCTGATGATGATGATTATGATGACGCTGATGATGATGCTGCTGCTGATGCTGATTATGCTTATGAGTACGATGATGATGACGAGGTTGATGATGCTGATGATGCTGCTGTTGATGATGATGATGCTGATGATGATCTAGACGAGGATCATGGTGATACGTATGATGACGACGATGAAGGCGGTGCTGATGATGCTGCTGCTGATGATGAAGCTGTTGTTGATGATGCTGATGATGCTGCTGCAGATTATGATGCTGACGACAATGCTGCTGCTACTGCTCAGGAGGAGGAGGAAGAGGAGGAGGAGGGAGGAGTAGGAGTAGGAGGGGGAGGAGGAGGAGGAGGAGGAGGAGGAGGAGGAGGAGGAGGAGGAGGAGTAGGAGCAGGAGGAGGAGGAGGAGGAGGAGGATGAGGAGGGGGAGGAAGGGCAGAATGAGAAGGGAGGACGAGGAGGCGAACAGTCTACCACGGCCAGGGGGGAGGAGAAGGGAGGACGAGGACAAGCATGAGGAGGCCCCTTTCCTCCTCGCGTCGTGATAGAAATCAGATGGGACGTTTTTGGTGATTTTCAGCCTCCGTGGCACCTTTCCAGGCCCCTGGGCAACCACGAAAAACACGCAGAGTGAAACACTTGCCCTCGGCAAGGGGTCCAGAGACCTCGGGGGAGGCACGTTGTGAAACATAACGAGGTCGGATGTCTGGGGCGAGGAAAAGGTGGAGGGATGGAGAAGGACAAGGAGGAGGAAGAGGAGGAGGAGGAAGGTGTAGGAGGAGGAAGAGGAAGAGGATGCGGAGGGAGGGGAACATGGAAGAGGACGGAACGTGTATGCCGTCCAAGTGGTACCATACACGTTACGCTGGGCGCCTTGCACACCTTGGATGTGGGATACCTAAAGACGGCACTGGGCGGTATGCTCTACAACCACAACTGCCAGGGTGTTGTTTGGTTCTGGAACGAATCTGGGGGCCCGGCACTTTTTTATGCACAACTCCACTACGACCACTCCGCCTGCTACCACGCGGGCTTCCACTACATCATGGGGGAAAAGGCAGTGGACCAATTACCACTATGGGCCGAAGAGGTCCTCAGTTGTCATCCCATCCGCTAAAACGAAC